CTCTGTGTAGCTTTGTGCCTTTCCTGGAACTCACTCTGTAGCCCAGGCTGGCCTCGAACTCAAAGAGATCCACCTGGCTCTGCCTCCCGAGTACTGGATTAAAGGCATAAGCCACCACTGCCCAGCCTTTCTTTTCAATTTTTTTTACTTGGATTTATTTGTGCTTATGTGTCTGTGTCTTTGTGTTCATGTGTGTGGGTATGATGAAGTCAGGAGACAACTTGCAAGAGTTGGTTCATTCCACCAATTCAAGGTTGGTGGCAAGCATCTATATTCCCTGAGCCCTCTCACCGACCCTGTTTTTTCTTTTTTTCAATTATAAATCTATCTCAATTTTACTTAGAAAAAAAGTCTGCAATCATAATACTCTGATCACTTTCCTACAATTCTCTAACCTTCTAAAAATCCTATATCTAGTTTCCTGCTCTATGTGTGAAGAACTTGAGGGCTAACCCAGGGATTTCGTTGACTCCATTTGTTCAGGGTCGTACAGTGCCCCCACATACAAATGATGAGAAGCCATGACATATCGGGGGTCCTGAGTTGACGTAATATTAGACTTAATGACCTAAAGTTCAAGTGCCCCATTGGAGCACTGTTTGTATTTGCTGTATGCCTGTGATCATACTGTATTTTTAGTTTAGTAAAACAGTATTCAAAGCCCTGTTCTGGGGTAAGGGTGCTGGTAAGGATCACACACGCATATTAATTAACATGAAGGATGCCTGTCTTAAGCACTCAGACTTCATTGAACCGAGCTGACTCCAGGCCAATGGCCACCCTCTAACACGATTGCTCTGTAAGTGTGTTTCTGAAAAGAATGTGTCCTGTAGGATAAGATATGAACTCATTTGGAAGGCATGCAGGCCCCTCGTAAGCCAACCCATGTTATTTTTCAGACTCATTTCCTACAACTGCACCTGTTTTCTGTTCTGCAATCTGCTATTTTAAACAATGATCTCATTAAAATTACATAATAGCAAGTCATTATCCCCTCCCTTGAAGGGATCCAATATATTCAGACTTGAAATGCTGTAACTATAAGCTTTCCTCAAAGACAGATACACAAACAGGCTCATCCCATCAACAGATACAAGAATGCTAGCAGTCATTCGGCTGCCGAAGGACAGCCCACGGGAATGCGAGGGGACCAGGGGCCCCACTTGATTATTCAAATCCTCTGGTCCCAGTCTTGGCTCAGAACCCAGAACTTGTTTTGAATCTATGGACTCCATACTCACAGCCTCTGTCATATGCAAAACTGGAGTAAGAATTTGAAAAAGAGATCTCATCACAGCCAAGTATGGTGGCACAGGCCTTTAATTCCAGCACTTGGGAGGCTGGGGTAGGCAGATCTCTGAGACTGAGGCCGGTCTGGTCTACAGAGCAAGTTCCAGAGTAGGCAGGGCTACACAGAGAAACCCTGTCTTGGGGGGGGAGGGTGTGCCTATCATCAGCCAAGGACTGAAACCAGCACAAACAGCATTCTTCAGGAGAGAGAAACAGAAACCTAAGGGAGCAACCAAGCAGAAAATGCAGCCTGTGAAGTGTACAGTGTCTTTGTTTTGTTTTCGTTTAAACAGGGTCTCATGCATCTTAGGCTGGCCTTGGCCTTGCTATATACTTGAGGATAACCTGAACCATCTAATCCTGGTTTATGTGGGGCAGGGGATCCAATGCAGGACCTGATGCATCCTAGGCAAGCATTCTACCCATTGAGCTGCATCTCCATCCCCAAGCTGTCAAGTGTGGTGGTCACCCTGAGACCTACAATGTACCACAGTAGTAGAAATGTTTCATTGCTGTGTTACTCCACAGAGTGCCCCCCCTCTGTGAAGGTTCTCCTTCAATTGATTATAAACAGAGAATGGGTCACTTTATGTTGCCAGGTAATCTATCTGACTAATGTGATGGGTCACTTGTGAGAGCTGGTATCCAATTGGGTGCCCGGTTGGCAAATACATGCTTTATCTTTCTTTCAACTTGAGTTGGGAAAAAAAATAAAGCTGATTCTAGTGTAACTATTCTTGACCACATGAAAACAACTGATTTTCTCCACATTGGTTATTTATTTGTCTAAGGCTCCTACCTCCTCCTGGAAGAAAGTGAGTCATAGCAACTCCTCTGTAGCTAGTGCAACCAGACATCAAAGTTCCTAGACCAAGAAGTATACATGTACTTGTGTTCACCCAGGAGGAAAACTATGTGAAAGACAGATATTTTTCCTACACACCAACCCTAAAACTTCTGCTTACATGGTCTGCTGATGTATGGCAAAGATTCAAAATTCTCCCGTTTGTTTATCCAGAGCACTGACAATATTTAAGACCCACATATAAGTGGAAGATCCAAGACACTCTGAATGTGTATGTGACTAGGTGCCAGGTTCTTCTGATGGTCTTAACTGTGTATGTAAATATATATGTGCATATGCATATTTCTAGAACTCCAACATCGGCTGTCACTACTGACCAAGAGAAAGTTCTCTTGTGCACTTGTGGAAAACATTGACTTAGCAACTACCATAGAAATTCATTTCACTGAATTGACGTTTGTGTTGCTTCAAGAACATTCAAGACAATTGCTAGATGCTTCCGTGCCTTCTCTGGTGTTGGCATAGGTATTTGTATCAAGAAAAAGATATTTTATTTGCATTAACCAATAATGGCCAGGATCTTTTCGTAACAAATATTAAAAATGGTTTAATTTGTATACTTGCGATATGTACTTGATTATATGTTTGTGTGCCCTTTAGTAATAGTGCTAGATAAGCAGAATTGTGCTTTTTTTTTCTTGAGTGTGTCATGGCAGGTACGATTTAGTTCACTCATCCAATTCTAGTTACACTTCAACAACACTGGACAAGTTTGTATTGGAATCCTGTTCCCATTGTCTGGAAGCTGGCTTACCTATCTAATAATACAGTATCTTTAACAGGTTAAGAAAAAGAATACTATCTACTTTTTAAAAGGCATATTTTAAGACTAATAAAGACGTAGTAGACCATCCCAAAGTGACACTGTGTTTTTTATATGCTTGACCTTCGACCTGCTCCATCTGCAGGCTGTCAGGTGGTTATAACCGCAGGACAGTGATGGCAGGGATTTGCACCTGGCACCACTGTGGCTCCCATAGAGCTCCAAGGAGATGCAATCCAGTAGCAGATGGTACCTTAGCATCCTGCCCCTTGCCTGTGCTCTCAGAAAGGGCTATCGTCAGAGTGTTGCTTGGCCCTCAGTGCCAGCTGGAGAGTCTGGTAGAAAGCTTCCAGGTCAAAAACACCTGTCACTCTGGTCTTTAAAAACTGTCACTTATTCCTCTTTGTGTTCATCTCCCATTTTTGAAGTATTAAATGTCAAGTTAGCTTCAAAACTATTTTAACCAGACATAGGTCTACTGTGGGATGTCTTTCTGTATGCTGTGAATATGTGTTGCTCTGATTGGTTGATAAAGCTGCACTGGCCTAAGGCAAGGCAGCTTAGAGGCAGGTGGGAAATCCAAGCAGATATGCAGAGAGAAGAAAGGAAAAGAGAGATGCCAGCCACTGCAGAAGGAGAAGCAAGATGCCAGCAGACTGGTAACATCACAGCTATGTGGCAAAACATAAATTATTAGAAATGGGTTAATTTAAGATGAAAGAGCTAGCTAGAAAGAAGCCTATCATAGGCCACATGGTTTGTAAATAATATTAAGCCTCTGAGTGATTGTTTTATAAGCGGCTGTGGGACTGTAGGGCCAGGCAGACTGAGGGACTGGGTAGGTAGGACCAGAGAAACCTTCTGACTACATATGGGAGGCTTTAAAGTTTTCTTGATAGTTAAAATTGGAAGCAAACTTTCAATTTTCCTACTTGGTTCTCCATACTCCACTCCTGGAAAATCAGGGTATTTGAGGCCTAAACTGCTCCCACTCAGTTGAGACGCCAGTCCTTGAAGGGTTAATCAGTGGAAAGGAAGGTTTAGACAGCCTCACTAACAGGGAGCCCTTTGGGACATGAGCAGGCCCCCACATGCTATCCCATGAGCAAAAGGAACCTGATCCCAGGTGACTCCCCTTGTCACAGTGGGTCTGATCAAGGACAGGTGTTTGGGAAGCTGAGTAGAGTCTCCTACAGAATGGCTGAGCATGAGCATACCTGTAAGTGGGACAGTGGGCCACATGGGTTCTGTGCTGCATGTGAGACAGCTGTCCCCATCCTAATGTATGGGAGGTGCTCATTGCCCAAAGCTATAATCTTCAGATGCCAATGAGGTATCACTGTAAGCAATGCAGTTGTACCTCAAAGCTCCACAACAAGATGATACAATGAAAACCGTTTGGTAGGTGTTGAGTATGATTCCACACTGCCCTGTTTTACTAAAACAGTGAATTAAAGTGACCTGCGCAGCCCCACATGGACAGAATGGTTGGAGAATGATCCTTTCCCACCCATTCCTTAAGTCCTCAGCCTCGGAGGGGAGGGATCTGGGGAGAAGTTAAGGTTCTTTCTCACTGCTATGTTAGGCCTCAGACATGCACTGCTTCAAGGAAGGTACAGTAGACAGAACTCTGCCCCCTATTGATTGAACATGGTGATTTAAAACCTACTTTCTTCATATTTTGTTGAACTTATAAACAGATTCTATGAGCAAAGGGCTTTTTAGAAACCTTTGAAGACTTAATGAGAGTAAAATTTAGTTCTTGGTCTTGGTAAATTAAAACCTAGCAGGATATGGGGATAAGGAGGGATGACTTGGAGGTTAAGAGCTCTGATTGAAACTCCAGAGGACCTTAGTTTGATTTTCAGCACCCACATGGTGGCTCACAACCATCTGTAACTCGGGTTCCATGGGATCAAACACCCTCTTCTGGTGTTTGTGGGCACCAGGCATGCACACGGTACACAGACATACCAACACACATAAATAAA